GGCAATCGGGGGGGGGGGGGGGGGGGGGGCGCATGCAGCTTCGGTCGACATTATCGTCGGTTCGACCCGCCTCTCCGCTCTCCCGCCCCTGTCTTGCTGCCCCGTCTACTCCTGTTCTCAAGATTGCCGCTGCTGTTTGTCTCGTACTGCTGGTGTACACTACAAGAGAAACGTACACAGCAGTGGTGGTCACCCGCGAACGGATTTTTTCGTGCACACCCCCGGGCTGAACGTAAATAGTACAACAGCACAAAGAATAAGGCTTCTTCCCCTGTCGTCACAGGTCCCCACGCTCATTTGTTGTTGTCGCACCTACCCACCCACCCTCTCAGGACGAGGACGGCCAAATCCCGGAAACGCACTCCATTTCCGCCGGGCTGGATTACCCGGGGGTCGGGCCCGAGCACTCGTGGCTCAAGGACAGCGGGCGGGCGGAGTACGCGGCCGTCACGGACGTGCAGGCGCTCGAGGCCCTCCAGCTGTTGGCGCGCACCGAGGGGCTCATCTCTGCGTTGGAGCCCTCCCATGCCGTCTATCACGCCATGCAGGTGAGTGCCTGCTTTGCGTGTTCTTGGTGTACTCATCACAAGCTGTATGTAGCCCTGCCCCCGCTCTTGTTTTGTGAGCGATGTGAGTTTAGTTGTTTTTGTTGTTGTGCAGATCGTTGGTTTGGCTCAGTCCAGGGGTTCTCCTTGGATTTTAGTTAAGTCTGTTGCCACGCGTCGTGTTTGGATGGATGGATGGATGGATGGATCATGTGTTTTCCCCCCTCACATCTGGTGCCTTTTTTGCTTACTTTTGCAGATGTGTTCGCTTCGAAAAAGTAATGTATGTGCATCCCTCCCCCCCCCCTTCCCCCGATTGCAGAACTCGGCCCCAGAAACCACGCGTTTTGATCACAGGTTTATTTATGCACTTGAAAAAAATCCAAGGACATGACACGATGTATGCATACATGGGCTCGACTTTTTTTTTGCGGTGACGATTTACGGACACAACTCTGCGGCGGTCCTTCGTCATTCATCCCTGATTCGCTCGTTTTTGTTCTTTCCGCCACTGCTGCTACTGCTTATGTTGCTGGCAGATGGCGAAGGGGATGTCTCCGGACCAGATAGTCCTGGTTAACCTTTGCGGCAGAGGGGATAAGGACATGCACACGGTCGCCAAGTACCTCGGGGAAGATGTTTGACGATTTTTTAGTGGCCTTTTTTGGGGGGGGGGGGCAAATATTTTGGTGTGCGTTTATAGCGAGGGAATCAATCACCTTTCTCCGCGTGTCTTTCCGTCTGTCTTGTCTTGTCTCTCTTTCTGTCTGCCTTCTTTCTCTTCCTGTCTGTCTGTCTCTCTTTGTCTCTCCCTATGCATGGGGACTTTTTCTTGGGGTTGTCCGTTTCCCTCCGCCAAATAATTGAGTGTTAGTTTCACGCAATGGGGGTCACGGCGAGAGAAATCCCTTCCACCGCCCGTTCTTTGGGTTGATAACTGCTGTAGTTTGTCCGGGGATCGGAGATCGGAGAGCAAGGGAGGGTGGTCTGTCTCGAGGACGAGGAACGAACGCGGGTGGTGCGGGCGGTCTACCAGGTTGCGTTGATAACAGCAGTTGACAGACACGGGTGGAAAGTAAACGGTACTCTTGCAACCATTTTTCAACCAAGACTGGAGAAGCACGCAAATCTCTCTTCAGGATGTGACGGTTCTCGTGGCCTCAGGCACAGCACACAGCACCCTTTTGTTATATTACTACTACTGTTGTTGTTCTGGGCATGGAACTCGAGTTTGGGTAGAGAATAAAAACGATATATATGGTGTGAACATAATGTTCATGGAACACATACGCGTATGTACATACATGCGCGCACGTGATTGGACGAAAATGAGGAAGGATTGGGCAGCTGATCTAGTGTGCCGGGCGTGGTCTGCCATACGCATCGCATATGTTCACCCATTTTACTTTCTCTTCCATATATACTTTGTGCAGCAGTGACGTCATTTACTGTTCGCGGCAGGGAGGATTGGCCAGGTGCTTGCCTGCTCCTCCTACACTTCTTTGCATACCTCTCTGAAACGAGGGAGCAGAGGGCGGACCCTCGCACAAAGAGTAGAGCTCAGGTTGTCACGTGCGTGGTTCGGAGAGGAAGCAAGGCGAAGGGGGACTTTACTGCCACCGCGCAAAGCTCACACCAACTCTCCCAGTTTAGTCCACGGGTCTATTGAGAGGCTGTAATTTAATTGTTTGTTGGTGTGCAAGATGTATGTGTGGTCTGTCTTGCAAGTAGTCTAAAAAGGTCGTGCTTGCATATGCATACATACTCTTTATCTATCTGAAGAAGGAGGCAAGTAAGCGTGATTTCTTGGAGCGGGCTCGCAACACCGCCGCCTCCATCAAACAGCCTCACAGATGGATAGATGTGTTTCAGGCATTCCCCGACACCCACACTTACTTCCTTCCACACCACGCGGAAAAAAAACCGTTCTGATCTCTTCTTACCAGATCTAGTCACCTGTCATATACACCTTCTGAGTACCTTCCAAGCAAAGAAACGATTTCCCGCGGTGACCACTGCTTTGTGGCACGAAAGACCCAAAAAACGAGGCTGCTGTATTTTCTGTATTTTCTGTATTTGCTCTTTCGTACAAACAAGCAAATTCAGTTCCCCGCGTCCACACGAACGAACGCTAGCTTTAATTAAGGAATAATAAAAACACACAGTCGCTAGCGTATTCCAAATATGTAAGACAACACCCACCCACAAGTAAGTTTCCCTGCTTTGTGTCATACCTCATGTTTTCGCTATTCCTTTCTTGTTCCACTAGCGGCAATACGCCCACATGCGAAGGTACATAAAATATATAGTCTATCTTCTTCGTACGGTGCTGGCGGAGGCCAGTTCATTTTATAACTTCGTTCTCGGAAGGAATCTGAATCTATCTCTGTCTGGCTGTTTTGTAGTCGCCATCATCGTCATCTCATCGTGTTTTTTCACTTTTCTTACGAGTGACGCGCCCGCACAACAACAACGTGTCTCTTTCTTCCCTCGCCATATCTTCACCCTCGACAACGCATGTATCCGCGATAGAGCCAGACACATACTACATACATACATGTGCATCAGAAACACAGACAGGGTGTTTGCTGTAGGTGCAGCAGCAGCACCGAGATGCACACGACGAGAGAGCTAGGAGGTCCGGGGTAGTAATCCTCCATTAGTTCTCCCGCGTGCACGCTTTTAGGCTCTCTCTCTACGCGTCTGCCTCCAACAGACTACTTGATTTTATCACAGAGGGCCCGAAAATCTCAACCAAAACGGTAATGGTGCGTCCCACACACAAACCCGTCTGCCGTCTGTCTGATGCACACACACAACAACCAAAGGAGGGCAACGCACGCAGTTGATTGCAGCTCTAGGACCGCTACGACGAGACCCCAGCAGCGCAGCAGAGTGCTCCTCCTGCTCCGCTGAGCCTCTGTTGTTTGCCCTCTAGCTCCCAGCACAGCATCGTCATCATCATCACGAGATAGATACATACGCGTGCCCTCTCTTGCCTCTTGGATATTTTTTTCAGGAAGAAAGGGCAGAAAGAGTCAATTTTTCAAGAAACACACAGAGAGAGAGGGCGCCGGAGAGAGAAGAAGACCGCGGCGGAGATTTTCTGGTCTGTCGGCACAAAAAAAAAAAGCAAACACACGATCACAACCAAAAACACACAACCCCTCTCCACACCAACACCCCATGTCTCGCGGAGAGGGACAGGAAGGGATGGACTATGGCTTCCCGCCGGCGAGAGGAGGGAGGGGGGCTCCTTCCATGTTGTGAGTGGCGGTGCAGTCGTGGCGGTTGTGGTGACGCGGATGTGCTCTCCTGCTTCTCCTCCGTCGTCGTGTCGAGTGTGGAGTACCGTATGCTTTTTCGACACAAAAAGGGAGACGGAACGATTAGACTACTTCTACTTCTGCTGGGTATAACTTTCGTCTCTCTCTGTCTGTCTCTGTCTCTCTGCCTGGGCTCTTTACCTTGAACGTTCGTTACACAAACACACGCATGCTTTTAACTATGCAGCCCGAGGAAGCTCTACCAGATCCTCTGCGAGACTGACCCGGAGATAATCACGTGGGACGACGACGGGAAGAGCTTCCACATCGCCAACTACGAGGAATACATCGAGGGCGTCATGCCACTCTTTTACCGTCACAACAAGCTCACGTCCTTCCAGCGCCAGCTCAACCTGTACGGTGAGACGAGACAGAAATCGCGTCGTGTGGGTGTTTGCCTAAACAAATGAGAGCAGAAGTGTTTGGTGGGGGCTGCGAGCACGTTCCTGTGGCCCTGCCACGGGCGGGCATGCTGGATCGAGAGATGAATGGGTAGATCGATAAGAGAGCCAAGACAAGAGACTGGTTGGATATGTGTGCTGTGAGGCGGAGTCGGGAATAAAAAACCGGACAGCAAACAAAGCACGACCCGCGCGCGCATCTCGGAAACAATACTCGTTGTTGTTTGCACGCTAGTCACGCCAGTGCGTGGTGCCAGAGGAAGGCAGCAAAGGAGAACCAAATGATCTCACGGCGAGCACGTACCGCCGCCCTGCACGTTGACCCTGCTGCTTGGCTTCGAGCGTGGCTGCCAGCCCATGCGTTGCCAACAAACCCCTCCAAAGCAACAACAACGAGCGTTTGTCTTTTCCGTCATCAACCTCGTCTCGACTCTCATTCATTCTTCTTCTTTTTTAGGTCCGATGTTACCTTCGCAAGATCATTCCGCTTTTTTCTTTTTTTTGGTCGAACTATCGCCACGAGAGTCCAGGCGCGTCCCAGTCCATTGAGCTCGGTTCCTCCTGCTGCTAGCGTGCACGGGAGATCTGACTCTCTCTCTCTCTCTCTCTCTCTCTCTCTCTCTCTCTCTCACACACTCTCTCTCTCTCTCTCTCTCTCTCTCTCTCTCTCTCTCTCTCTCTCTCTCTCCCTCTCTCTTTATCTCTCGGCCTTTTCAACCACTGCCCTTTTATCTGAGGTGAAAGTCCTTGTGTGCATAGAGAAGGAGACGAAACACGACCGACTGGTAGAATTGTAGGCTGCTGTGCTCTCCTCCCTTTGGGCCGGATGTATTTCTTCCCAATACATCAAGAACCAGTAGAAAATAAATCACACATCTGGTACCGAAAAAGGAAACCACGCGACTCGCCGTCGCAATCGCAACGATGCTGCTGCTGCTGCCATGCTGCTGCCTTCAGCCTCTGGACGATGGTACAGGGAGCAGCAGCACCTTACCACGAGTCCCACCGACTTGTGCGTTGTGAGCGGACGTATATATCCAGTTGGCGACAACAACACACGCGCCGGCAGGCACGCAAAGTTTAGTCCTCTCCCCTCACAATCCGAAAATTCAGCCGCTCGCTTTTTCTGTCCTTTGGACCCTTCTGGAACGCGATCGATTTTCCTCGTGTTTGCTTTTTTTGCGGCTCGTTCTATGTTGATCACCCAGTACAACCTATTCTTTACTCACCCGCCGGCACGCGTTCGCGGCACCAATGTCGTCGACTGATTTAGCTCTACCATTCCATCGAGACAGCTCGTACGCATGTACACGACCCATATTGTCTACAGATAGATTACATATGCCCCGAAGGCCCGAGGACCTGGTGTGTGGGTGTGTGTGACGTTTTTCATTCATAAATGTGCCGTAATTTAGTCGATGGTTTGTAGATCTTTTCATGCGGCTGACCCGCCCGGCGAAGGGCAGGCCTCTTCCTGCGCATTGGCATCGCGAGATTCACCAGCTGAAGAGTGAAAGGAAAAATCACCGTCACCAGCAGAGAGCAAGTATTTTCAGGGAGGCAAGATTTGAGGCTTGTTGGGATATGACGGGTAAACGGCAAGATTTTCAAGTAGTGTTTTATCACCAGGCGCATTTTCCTCTCGAAATTTGTACTTTAAATTGGTGAGAGATCGAAAGGGTCGCGGTGCCGAAGTTCAAGCTTGTTGCGCGCCGCGGCCGCTTCAGCATCCGGCGCGCTCAGCAGGCCGACCACACACGCACGGATCACCGCAGAGCCACTCGTGTCCCTCCCTGTGCCCCCCGCCGCCCCTTGAATGGCATTGAATGTCAAGAATCGCGTGATTTTCATTTCCATTTGTTGGTTGACCCGTTGACGTATTGTTTGTTTTGCGTCTTCTGTTCTTTAGTTCACGACACGCTCAAGGTAGTGTATTTTTATATTTTATTCTTCTCCGTCAAGTGAAGTAAAAAATTGTAGAGAAGCATACGAAGTACTTCTGAAGACCCCGGTTTGTTTTCGAAGGGGTTTCGCCCCCGGTGGGTGCCGCCTGGTTGTTGCAGCTGGCCATGTGTCAAGCAGGGTTAAAAGTTGTCGGGCGCTGCCCCGAAAATTGGACTGTTTCGGCGCAAAGCGCCGAATTTGTTTTTTGAGGGTCGTCTCAATTCGGCGGCACGCCCCGGACAATGTGTTTGCCTGCCTGCCCCCAACAACTTTGAGCGATCTCGCCGATTTTTCGGCGCGTAGTAATTCTGCGGATCCTCCAGCCCCACCAACCTGCGGCGAAAACAATATCCGCGCAACCACGAAACCACACAATGCCTATCTTAGCAACGATTGGCTGGTCTACTGCCGCTGGTGGTCGACATGGGTACAAGACGTTTCATGCGTAAATGCATCGAGGAGGAGGACGACTCCTTGCCAGAGCTGAGGTGTCTCGGATGGCATCGAGCCATTCATGAGGGATACTTGGAAACGGCACCAAATACCAAACACCAAACACGCAACATGATGACACCAAACGCCCGCCAGCCCGGGCGTGTGGATTAAGTTTGAAATACGCATGTGTCTACGATTATGTCATAAAAACATTTGAATCTGTGTCGATTTGCGCATGTTGCGGACAACAATATACTGTACCGGCTGCCGGACCAGCCGGCTGCCGACTGCCGCCCCCACAAGGAAGGCTCGAAAACGGCCAAAAAATCCGGTCGGATGCACGTCAAATTTAGCTAGAAAATGACGCAAATTAAGCACACTACCCCATACTGTTTTAACCCTGGTGTCAAGGTGTGGCCGCATTGCTCAGTGCGGCGGGTGAGGCCATGCGCACAAGGTTGTAACTTTTATCGTGAAAATCGTGGGCATGCGTGTCTAATGTCAAAGGTACAGCAGTACCATCTGTTTTTCTCTCCGTGAAGGGATACGTACTGACCGCAGCTTTTCTCCCCATAAACCTCCGCACGACCTGGAGCTATTGAACACTACTAAATATCCAGCCTCAGGAGGCAGTCCTGATTATTTCCCGGCGCCTGACCGCTGTCGCTTCTGCCGTGTGGAACGCTTTTTCTCTCTCTCGTGTGTTGTGTTATCGCGCAGGATTCAAGAAGAGGGGCAGGGACGAAAAGAACCCGGGCCACTACTACCACCCGTACTTCCAACGAGATCGCCCGGAGATCCTGGGAGGCGTCCGCCGCTCCTACCCCGTGACGAGCCCCAAGTGGGTTACCCAAGGCAGCAGCGGTACGCCCAGCGCCAGCAGCGCCGCCGGCAGGGCCGCCACCGCGGCCAGGGCGGCCGCCGCCGCCAGGAC